CCCCACCGGCGGCTTAGGTATTAGTGCAAATGTAAAAGAGAATGAGAACAAAAAAAAACCAAATACCATATGGATTCCACCATAAACATAAACTGCCACAGACAGATGAACAGACTGAGAAAGAGACACAAACAGAAACAGACACACTAATACAGAGGCACACATAAAGCGAGACTAATTAATTAAAAAAACTGAGTGGCTGAGATTCAAACAATGGGAAGAAACAAGGTTGCTCAATAATTTCCTTCATGACAATTATGTGGATATAGTAGCAGAAGTAAACAGGTAAACCCTGAATATGGGTTTACACAATGCTCCAACATGATACTAAGCTCCCTTAGATAATGAATCTCTCCAAATGGAAAATTATAGTTAAATGTTATGATCAGATACTATTAACATAAAATTAGTAGCATTCATCACTTATATTATCATATAATTATCTATAGTATTATATCACTAGTAATACATATATATATATATATATATATATATATATATTACTATACACCTACTTAATGTCACCTCCCTAGTGTCTTTACAGTGTTAAAAAGTGTCAGTATATCTCTACACATGAACATGTCCAACAGGTAGATGCACGTTTTCTTAAGGTGTAGTAAAAGACATGTTTCTACCTGTGTACAGCCATTTTCTACTGGATGAAAAGTTCTAAGGCATGATATTAAAATATTTTATTGTTTTTATGATATGATATGGGTTCTGATGCTTTTATGGTGAGCATTTCATATTTTTATATGTAACTTTATTAAACAGAAAGACTCCCACAGATGGAAACTGACAAACCTGAATTAGCACCACAATTAATTTGCAATATATTATTTCCTAGCCAAAAAACAACACCTACTGTATTATGGGTGCTTCAAATGAAAGCACATTCACTGGAAAATGAAACTATTATGCATGCATCAATGGGCAAATTTTGACATGCTAAATTAGTGCTGATGTAAAATTAAAATTTACACGGCTTTGCATATATTAATTACCTTTCTTATGCTCTTAAATTTAAAAACCTTGTTTAAGAGAGTATTTGACGAAAACTAGAATGTATACATTGATCACCTGCAATAATTGTTAAAAAGAAAATGAGATCACTTACAGTAATATATCTCATTCATTTTTTGAATGAGATATATTACTGTAAGTGATCTGTTATATGTAATTTTTACTGTCACTTTAAATACATTTATTATATTTGCCATCCTATAGCAAATTAACAATGTTTTTTTCCCATAGTTATTTTACTTGATTTCAGAGAAAAACAAGCATGTTACTGTTCTGCATATCGACTGTGTTTTTGAAATAAAAGGAAACTATAAATACAACCAAAAGAAATACAAACAAAATAGTTAACAAAGTGTAGATATATCATAAACACTAACAGGGTTATTTACTAACGAGATAACTCAAAGTGGAATTCAAATTTAAGGCCAAAGTAGTCAAACTGAAAGCATATTTGACTTATCAAGACTGAACATTTTGACCTCAAAGGGACACTCCACTGCCCTAATACAAAATAAATAAAACTCACTATTTTGTAGACATACCCCAAGTGAAAACATTCATGCACTTAATTATGCATTGTTTTCATTGGGGGTGTATCTAAAAACAGGTTGCAAACCTGCAGTTCTCTTGTCAGTTGCCTTTGCAACCCCACACCGCTTTTAAGCCTGCCCATGCTTTCTAAAGATGTCCAATCACAGACTTTCCAATGCATCTCAGTGAAAAATCTTTGCAATTCAAATAGGAAGTAACAGGCCTGCTGTTTGCAGAATTTCACATTATAATACAAAATAGCCAGTAATCTCTGTTTTCTTTTTTTCTTTCACATTTAGCTTTTTGGTCTCCATTTTTTGTATTCAATGCAGTCAAAGAGGGTGCCAGGAATAGACCCTGTTTATACCGTACCTAAAAAAATGTGACTTTAAAGAAATACTCTAAAGTGCAAAACAACATCTTAACAAATCACTTTTGGTATACAGATCATATCTCGGCAGTCATACTGCATAATTTTCTGCCATTAAGGTGTTAAATCACTTTTTTATGTTTATGCAGCTCTAACCACACTTTCCATGACTGATTCACACATCCATGAAAAAAGTTTTATTTTCAAGCAGATCTTATAGAACATTATGTTTACTTTAGACATTCCTATCACATGCTCTGTTAATTGATCTTTATTCACATATGGTGCACACTCTACCAGGCATCATTAAAGAAACACTCCAGGTACCATAAACCTGTCAGCTGATCACTCTCAGCCAATGAGCTAAGCCCTGAGTTGCATTAACTTATGTTTTCTGACCTATGATAGCAGAGATGAGTTGCCACCCACGGCAGACCCCAGGTAAGTTGTCAAACTATTTGAAAATGGTTTGACTCCTTAAAATTAGGTAGTGCCAGGTCACTCCTGGCACCATGACCACTACACTGAGCTTTAGTTGTTTTGATGTCTGGAGTGTTCATTTAAACTAAAGTTGTTTTTGTGCTTAAATTGACTATTTAGGCCTCCAATACACTGACCGTGAAGAGTTCCCTCAAACATTAATTCAGACTTTGTTTTTATTTGCTTTTGAATGATATCCTTAATATCACTATGGCTTCTAATTAATGAAGAATTTCAGCAGTCATTTAATTAAGGATATTAAAACAATGTAATAAAGTGTAATATATATACATGCAATAATTATAATTATCCAGTGAATAATTGAAAAAATATATATTTGCTAGCCCATGACAAAAATTTGTAGAACATAAATGCATTTGGATGTTATTTCAACAGAACATATGTTCGATATAGACTTGCCTATAATGTGCATCAGCAAGCACTAGTTGGCAGATAAATAATTTTAGTGACAAGGTGAAATTTTCAATGAGATTTCACAGCTTGATAAGTCATTTTAATTACTATGTGATGCATATTTAAATGACAGCAGTTTGCTGGAAGCTTCAGGCAGAAACATGGCAAGTTTACAAAGCTGCAAAGCTGACATGCCGTGCCAAAAGAGTAAATCTATAATCATTGATATACCCTTATGACTTGTCTTTGGTATATTGTTTCTAAATATTTATTTTGTTTTAACTTACAGAGATCTTTCTGCAGTGCAATGGTGGAGGAGTTGAGAATGTCTCTAAAGTGTCAACGACGTTTGAAACACAAACCCCAGCCTCCTGTAATAGTGAAAACAGAAGAAGTTATTAACATGCACACGTTTAATGATAGAAGATTGCCAGGAAAAGAAACAATGGCATAAAGCTGCGAGTCAGGCTTCTCCAAGCACAAACTGTCAGCTTTTTGTTTTATTTTTTCCAAACAACTCTGCGAGAATGTTTCCTGTGGAAATATGCAACCTGTGCAAAATAAAAATGAGTTACCTCATATCGCTCTGTCTATGAACGCGAAACTTACTTGATTCTTTCGTCAGACTATTAGTACAAGAATCATGGATGAACCAAGAACTTCTGCGGAGGTTAAACTGTTTTTAAGGGGTCCACCATTCTTCTGAATGTAAATGTGTACGTTTTGTGGTTGCTTTTTCAAATAAGGTCCCAATGAGAAAACAAGAAGTTATTTTTTCAAGCTTATCTGGGTTAGGAAATCCATTTCACCATTTCAGATTAATTGAAGAATAAGTATCAATAAAATCAGAAATAAACTTGCTGAAGAAACTGGCTACCCCGCAAACAAAGATAAGAAGAACATATGGTACATTATTGCAAACCCAAATGAAAATGAAAATAAATTATATAGGTTTATACTCTATGGGCAACATGAGATTACTAAAAGATGGCTTAGAAATCATGAAAATCATGATTATTAAAAATATATATATATAGTATGAAAGGAAGATTCTTATCTGCTTTGTGGACTCTGTGTTTCACTGTCGTAAATAAAACAAAATGTCAGTAAACAAGGCAATAATTGTATTGTTCAATTCAATCAGAATACAGTATTTCTGTGTGCAGAATATTAGGTTGGATCAGTTCATTCTGATGCACTGTTAAGGCGTTCAGGAGAATGTATCTTAATTGTATATTGCATAGAGGGATAATGTAAATGTGGAGGAGAAAAAGTTACATTTTAGCCTAAAAGGATTTTTAAAATGTGTTCCTGTTACCATTTGAACCCCACTGAGCCTCTGCAGCTCCCTCCAACTGTGGAAAATGCACAGGCCACTTAAAACAACTTTCCATGGAGAGATTTAAGTGGGCTGCATTCATCAATACAGTCAGTGTTTAATGATCAAAATCCTCGAGCAATTTTTATTTAAAAAAAATGTTCAGGTTTATTTGTGGAAATGCAAGATTTCTATAAAAATAGTTTTTGTATGGAGATTTTTGTAATACTTTTTATCAACAAAATCCAAACATACGTTTCTTTCAGGGGTGTGATGCCAAGCATGAACGGTAGTGTGTGAGCACCACCAATGTTTGGTGAGATTATTTTTATCACGTTTGAGCCCACTATTGAAAATGTAAAACAAAACACAAAGAGACAGAATTATTTCAATTTCAGTATTGCTAGTTGCACTACCAGCACTGCTTACCATGCTACACCCCTGACTTTCACTAAGCTAAGAACATACTGTAATAAACAATTGTGTGTAAATGGTAAAATACACAGTCTTCTTGAACACATTGTGATAACAGTTGAAGTGCACACAGTTTCCTGTTTGAATACAATGCACAAAATAAACAAAAACAAAAACAAAATGCATTTATCTATTTTATTTTGTATAGACATTTTACATCCATGTTTTAATGGATTGCAAATAAAGGAATAGACAGAGGGGTGGGTGTAGAAATGTGACTGCAAGTGGTTCCCTGTCACTGCTCAATATCTATATTAAAAAACAAAAAACAAAAAAAACAAGCAAAACAATTAGACCATTAATCCCTCCATGACCAGAGTAAGGCAAGTCCCTTGACATATCATTGGTCCTGAAGTGGTTGGATGACTTAGCATAATAGTATATTTTCAGTGCCAATTTATTTTTATAGATTTAGTATAATTGTTTTATTCACATTATATTTTTCAAGAAATAGAGATCAAATTGTAAAGACAAAACATTAGTGTCTACATACTGGTGCAATGTCACCACAAGTTAATAAAAAATAAATTTGCTAGATTTATTGAAGGGGCTGGTAAAGAAAAGATGTAGACCTCTATTTATGTAATTTTATTTTTTTTTAAATGTGAATATTACTGTAAACAATTGCACACCAGTATATCAAAGAAAAAAAGCTGTAGATATCCTACCCAAATAATGAGTCAAGACAAACTAACATGAATTGTAAAAGAAATTGGCAATCTACCACAACTATTCAATGACAAAAATGGCAAATGTCTTAAAAGCTAAATTTAGCTTATATCTACAACTGCAGAGATTATAACTTATCCTACCAAAAGAAGAATTAGGATTTACAAGATACATGATGCCATTTAACCTTCTTATACTTTAAATTAATGCTAGGATGCTAGGATGATTATTGAGCTTTTTATTGGACACAACAATGAGATAACACATTGTAGAAAGCATTTCAAAGTTTTCAGAACTTGGTCGATGTGTTTTCTTTGAATTTTCTAACACTTTCATCTAATGTGGAAGACGATGCATGACATGATTTAAAAAAAAATAAAGATAAATGAAGTGTTTTGATTATTAATGTTTAGTTTGTGGATACTGATTGCTTCAGTTATTGAATATCAAGGGGTGGCTTAACATCCAGCATGCACAATTACAGTTCAGATAAGTTGGGAACATTTTACAATATAGTTAAGTTGATTTTTTTTTCTAGCTCCCCAGTTTTGGCTAATTACTTTTTACAAGTCAGTTGGCAATTTGCTATAACTCTATCATTAGCAAATAAACCTATTTAAAATATAAACTACCTCTTAAATGGAATGCAACATTGCATCAGTGTTAATTTATTGATATGTAGTTAGGTGTTTTTTCACTATAATTTCCTGACAATTTTTCAATGGCTAAATCATAAAACAAAACCAAAAGAGTTACCTATGCATTATTCAAAATGTCCATGACTATTTACATAACAAAGGTTTTGGTGCCACTGCAATGGTCAAGTCATTGCAGTTGTACCAAACAAATTAATCCTAACTTGGGCACACAAGGGCAAGCTACTTCATTGTAATAAAATTAATAAATAAAAAAGAAATTAGTTTGGCTAATTTTTAAAGATGCATAACAATACCGACTTCTATTTCATTTGAGAGTTTACCATTTAGGTGAATACTGCAAGGTGCATAGTTAGGTTAGGAAACAGTCTTTACATTGACAGGTGAGCAAAACTTTAATGGTCATTGCAGTAGTTTAAAAAAAACACTGTTATTTAAATAGACATAGAGATTTGAGACAGTTAGAAAGTAACTTTTTGGGTTTTGTTTTTTAAACATTTTGGCTGATAAATATTAATTTAGTGACACCCAAAAAATGGTTTCCAGGAATAAAGATGTTTGTTGTATTTAGCACAATATAAAACAAATTAACCACCCAAGACTTTTTTTGTTTAAACAATTTATGTGCTCATAATTTTACCATTGTAACACTAGAATAAGTTTTGATTGTAATAACGTTTTAATTGTCAGGGAAGAGTAAAAATAAACTTACGTTGCACATTAGTAGAACATTAAATGCCTAGGTTCTCCTGACTCACATTGTCCTCTAATAGTTTCATTCATGTGAATTTGGTCATGCTTGTATGTCCTCAATTGTACTTATTTTTGTTTGTCCATCTAGCTGTGTCGTCACCTGCTAAAATTTGTCAGTTTATTTGTTGATGTACAGATTTGACTGGAGTGATAGAAATGTAACACAAAATCAACTATTAGCTCAGAAATTACACAATACGTTAATTAATTTAAATATAGTGCATTTACTTATTACGTGGACTTGATATGTGTCCTTTTGGAATATCGTGGTAGTTCATATATCATGGCAAAGTGTACCTATGTTTTTTTTTAAATAAATTGTTGCCATTCTACAAAATCTGTGACTACTAGTGGTAAAGTAATAATAGATATATTGCAAATCTGAGTGTATAAATTCAATCTGGTAAGCATCATCACATAAATAATGTTGTAGATATTTTAGTTTGAACATTTAAACACAGTCTTAAGGAGTGTAGTGATAGTTTAAGTCAGGGCTGTACATTTCTGTTTGCATGCAATTCTATAACTGTTACTAGAAAAATATAACTACTGCAAAGTTTAATTTGATATTCCTAAACAACAATAACAAAGGCACACTGAAATATTGTGTATAACCCTCTGGGTGTTTTTTCAACATCCAAGAAAAATCTTGCAATATTTTTTACTTTTTACACGTCTTTGTCAAGTCTACATAAAATGTACACATGACAATCTCTCTATAGGCTAAATCACACGTGCATAATCAAGGCAATTGCATGTGCTATAGTGCAAATGCACTTAGTACTTTAAAGTAACACTGTTACTGTAATAGTAAACTTTAATATCAAACGCAATATATGCTAATTAATATATTACAACATTCTTAGTGAGTTTTTAAAAATGTTCTTGGGTTTTTCTTGGATAATGCACATGATGAAATTTTTTTTTAATTTAAAATGAATAAATGTTTTAATTTTCAATTATTTATTCATTATTTACAGAAATATTTGAATGACATAACATTTTATAGATAATACAATAGCCCCTAAATTGTAATATTTCAGATAGGACTAAAATATTAGCACAGAGGTAAAAATGTCATATATATCATACTAACCCCATAATGACACATTATTACATAATGGCAACTTGACCTACTGGTATGTATTGCAGCTTTAGTGCTAGCAGAGGCTAAATCCCTAATGTCCCTAGGGCTATCCAGGTATCATTCAAAGCGAGCATGACACAAAGCTCTTTAAATTACCATGACTAAACTTCTCAGCTCAGCTTCAGACTACTGACATTAATGACACAACTAGGGATTCCCTTGAGAAGAGGGACACGTGTAGAGTTTGAAAAAACCCTGATTGATTTCTCTGCATGCTTAAAATGATTGGTGCTTGGCTGTGGGCTTTATACACAAAAACTATGTGATCTGGCACAAAGCGAATCAGCAGCAGACAGAGAGATCTCCCACATGCTGCAATTACAGAGGGCTCACATTATATAACCAGGGGAGACTCTCTGCTCATCTCAGCAGTGACATTAGCTGAGGGAAACACTCTGGTTTAGACTTAGGGTTAGGTTTGGTATTTGGTTAAAGTAAGGATTGGTTTAGGGTTACAGTTTAAGATTGATGTAGGATTAAGATTAAGTGATTTAAGGATTGGCATAGATTTAGGATTAGAGTTGCTAAGCATGCCTAAGAATAATTGGAGTTACTGTCAATAACTACTTTAATAAAACTAGTGCCCTAAAGAATAGAACTCCCATCACACACAGATAGACTTTGCCTGGCTGAAAATCATGGGATGTAGAGTCTAAGGCATCCTGAAGGTAGGTATTTCTGATTGTAGTGGATTGCTTTTTAAGAGAGTGTATTTACTTTTTTTTAAACATTGTCTTATAAAACCCTAGTTTTAAAAATGCAACCCCATAAGTTCACTGTAAACATGCAAAAATACTGCACAGGGCAGGCTTTACTGCAAATCATTAGAGTGTCCTCTACTATGATAGTAACCCCAAAAATGTAAAACATTAGATACCTACAAGGTCTACAATTATACATCTATTGAGTATAAAATCATGAGCTGAATGCAGTACACACCCAAAAAGGTTATTCTGTTCTGAACTGGGCATTTCACAAATCTGGCCTTGAAAGTTCACAAATACTTTGCAGAAGTATATATGGGGATGGTATGGAGTACTCAGAAGGTGTAGCTGAGTACATTTTTTTTTTGTTTTGTTTTACTTTCAGTAGTTCATACAATGTTTATGATACAAAAATTCAATGTGCTTGTGAAAAAAATGCTGAAATAAAACTAATTCCATAAACTTTGAATGAAACTGTTGAACAATTGTCCCATGATTAGGCTCAAAATACACCATAAGAGATAATCTAGGAGGTCTACTTTTGCAAATGGCATAGATTTATGAAATCATTCGAAAAAAGAGTCATAGACTTATCAAATTAATATGTAAAAACTCCAAGTTTGAAAATCTAAATGGATAGGTCTGCAATTTGATTCCAGAAATTCCTTGAAAATTGAGGATATTATTGTTCTCAGGACATGTAGTTGATTGCATTTTTAGTTTTAAAGATGAGTATTACAAAACATATATCAAAATAAAAGTTTTAGTAATGTATTTAAAAACAACACAAAATATTAAATATTACATATCATTTTCATAGATGGCGACAGGCTGCTTGCATTAACATTTTCAAACTGCTATGTGTTAAATCCTCCAGGGTGCATATATAAAAAATATATACGTTTGTGTTTTAGTTTTAGTTTGCGTGACTGAAACAGAAGACAACATATTTTTTAAATTATATAGCATTAGGATGTTAATGTGCCTCTTGCTATATGTGACCTACAAATGTTACAAATGCATAAAATGCATTTTAAATATTCTAAAAATCAGGACAAATGCATTACATCTTTTTCAAGTATTCCTATTCTTTCCTAATTTTATTTTTTTAATGATTATCGACAATTAATAATGGACTATCAATTCCTTAGGTACCACTACAGAATCCTACATGTTCTTAACAAAAATAATACATAATATGTGAGGGTATAACAAAATGAAAGGATGCAAATTATGTGAACAAACACGTAACCATTACAAAACTGCTTGTCACTTTTGCAGATTGCCAAACAAATAAAATTCTGTGTCGTTAAAAGAACACTAAAAGCACCATAACCAATACAGCTTGCTGTAGTATTTTTAGTGACAGAAGTGCCATGGTGCCCCCCATTTTAAGTAGCACAAGCATTTTAAAATGGTTTGACTTCTTACCTGTGGTCCGCCCAGGGACGTATTAGCCGCGAGGCAAACAAGGCATTTGCCTTGGGCGGCATTTTTCAGGGGGCGGCAAAAAACGCCGCCCCCCAAATGCCCAGGGCAGATGCCTAGTTAGCCTTGCGGCTAACTGACATCCCGAGCGGGCGGGCGGGCGGCCGGCGAGGGAGCACTTCCCATGAGCTGACTGCTCAGCTCCCTCGCGCACCGCAAAGTGAGGCTGGGAGCCGGAAGATGACGTCATCTTCCGATTCCCAGCCTCACTCTGCAGCCGACGCGCGAGGGAGCTGAGCAGTCAGCTCATGGGAAGTGCTCCCTCGCCGGCCGCCCGCCCGCCCGCCCGCCTGCCAGCGCCGCCCGCCCTGCAGCCACTGGACCACCAGGGAGAGAGACCCCCCCCAGCACTCCCAAAGGTAAGGAGGTTGGGGGGGATTTAAATTAAAAAAAAAAGTTAATGTGTGTGTGTTTGTGTGTGTGTGTGTCTGACTGTGTGTGTGACTGTGTGTGTGTGTTTGTGTGTGTGTGTGTGTGTGTTTATGTCTGACTGTGTGTGTCTGTGTGTTTGTGTGTTTGTGTCTGACTGTGTGTGTGTGTTTGTGTCTGACCGTGTGTGTGTTTGTGAGTGTGTGTGTTTGTGTCTGTGTATGTGTCTGACTGTGTGTGTGTGTGTTTGTGTCTGACTGTTTGTGTCTGTGTATGTGTCTGACTGTGTGTGTATGTGACTGTGTGTGTGTATGTGACTGTGTTTGTGTGTGTGTTTGTGTCTGACTGTGTCTGTGTATGTGTCTGACTGTGTGTGTGTGTGTTTGTGTATGTGTCTGTGTGTGTGTGTGTGTGTGTTTGTGTATGTGTCTGACTGTGTGTGTGTGTATTTAGAAGGTGGGGCGGGGGGAAGGGTTGGGTGGGGGTGGCGCGGGGGGGAGGGGGGCGCCTGAGTTTTGTCCTGCCTAGGGCAGCACAAAACCAGGATACACCACTGGGTCCGCCAGATGTCGCTCCCTAAGCTCACTACATCTTAGTGACATCCAGGATCTATCATCAATGAGCTTAGCTAGGCAGTGAAAGGCTTAGCTTATTGACTGAGCTGGATCAACTCACTCTGTTCTAAAACTGTTTGACTACTTACAGTTGGGTTTAGAACACTCCTGGCTCCATAGCCACTACAACATGCTGTAGTGGTTAGGCTGCTTGGAGTATCCCTTTCAAGATTTACGCTGGTGTGATAAAACTAGATAAACAAAACAATTAAACAGACTAAAAAGGGTAAAAGTGAGTAAGGGCTGCGAAAGAAACTAAATACAGTAGTCTATGACAGTAAAGACCAGACTAAATGGTCTCAATGAATAGACAACACCAAAATTGGCCTATATAACTAATAAAAAGTCTCTATTAAAATCGGATAAAAGAGTCCTTCCAAGTGGTAAAATGATCGATAAAAATAAATAAATGAAACGTCTCACTGATATAGCTGGATGGGATATATATACAGTCCTCAGGTGTTGATCCGTCTGGGTTGTAAAATAATCCGTATATGTAAAGACAAGAATGGAAACAC